TTTGCTAAAGGATTATTTTTTTTTGAATTATTGCAATAATCTTTTTGAACTGAACAGAGATATAATTGTCATTTATCCAACCAGTAAGTTGTTCTAAATAAACTATCACAAATAGTAAGCTAACTTATTCTGATAATATGAAAATTATCAAATTATCAGAATAATGTGATGGCTAACTTATTCTGATAATATGAAAATTATCAAATTAACAAAAAAATGGGGCCCCCCCCCCCCCCAATGAATATGATTATATTCCTTCAATTCAGTCAAGGACGTCCTCCCAAGTCATAAAAAACGGCTGGGGAAAGAACAAATTCCCACCGCTACCGAACAAAACAATTTATTTACACTTCAGCCCCTCACAATTACTTATTAGCAGAACCAACCCTCACCTCTGTGCCTGCCCGGGTCACATGCACGTCACTCTCTCAGTTTAATAATCGTCGAGTCGTAACCAAGAAGCCCGGTGGCGAAAATTAATGGCAGATCTAACGAGACCTGAAAAGCTCCCACCGCTACATAGAGAGCATCATAAATGGGAGGGTGCAAATGTGGGTGAAAATTGCTAATTTGTTAAATTATGCGGGACAGAGCTGAGTGGGCAGCACGGTCAGGGGTGGTGGAAGATGGAACTCCGAACAGGTGTTGGCATTTCACAAGCACATGTGTGGGCCCTGCTAGGATTAGTTCTTTTTATAATTCTATTGTTAACAGATGTTTATGAGTAATGATTGATATAATTATAAAATTAGTTTGTTTTTAATGAAATGGCACACAAGTATTATATATTTAAATATCTAGCCCCTGAAGTTTGATATTTATATTTCTTAGACTTTGGTCTCATAAGCCCATGCATACAAAATGTGTATTTCATTTTTAAGAAATTTATTAATGATTAGGGCTGTCAATTTGGCACGTTGTTCGTGAACAGCTCGTGTTCGGCTCATTAAGCAGCTCGTGTTCGGCTGGATTATAAATTTTTAAGCTCGAAATATAAAAAAGCCGAACACGAACAACAATTTGTTCGCTCGTGTTCGACTTGAAATGACTCAAAAAAAAAATTATATAACTTTTTATGTAACAATATATTATATATATTATTTATATAATAATATATTATATATATTTATGTCTAAGTTTAAATCATAACACCTCATCGGATAATGTGGTTAATGTTTTTTTGTATAAATTTGATCCAGGTTCGAATCCCACACTTTACAACTATTTTTCTCAATATAAGTTTAACGAGCCAATTTCGAGCCGAACACGAACACATTGTTTACGAGCCGATTTCGAACAAGAGCTATTTCGAACGAGCCGAACACGAGCCAAGCCTGAGCTCGCTCAAGCTCGGCTCGTTTACAGTCCTATTAATGATGATATTTAAAAGTGTTGAGTGTTATAGAGATAAATATGAAAGTTTTGGTGTTAGATATAAAAATTCAAAAGAATTGTGTGCTATGTATTTACGTGCTCCATTTTTAATATATATGTGCTTTTCATTCGTTTTTGTTAAATAGCAATGTAAATCCGAACTTTAGCAGAATAACATGAGTAACTTCTATCAATCATATGATTTCAGGTTTAGCGTCTGTTTGGGGTAGCTGCAGCTTATTAAAAAACAGTTTTGAAGCTACAGAATAATAATCTAATACTCAAAAAATTTTGATGACTATTACAAATTTTTTGACCGCAACTAAAAAACTGCTACCGCACCTAGTTAGGAGTGGTGGAAATACACAGATTTTAGCTGTAATTTTTTGAAAATTTTGCTAAAATGCAGTTTACCCAAACAGATAAAATTGCAGTGCTGTGTGTCACACCGCCACCGCACTGTTGCCCTAAACAGACCCTTAAAATATATCACTAGAATTTACCACTCTATCTAAATCTAAAATAAATGAAGATGATTTTCATTGAAATTGCAACTTTTTGAAAATACTACCAAAACGTAGTCTACCCAAACAGATAAAATTACAGTGCTGTGTGTCACACCGCCACCATACTGCCGCCCTAAATGGACCCTTAATATATCACTAAAATAAATGAAGATGATTTTCATTGAAATTGCAACTTGAAACATCAAATAAACTTTAGAATGGACAATCAGTTAGACTCATATAATCATTCCAAAGTATGCCATGAAAAATCTCAAGTTATTGTAAAATACAATGTTGATTTTATTTAAGAATATTAGGTCTTGTAACCACACCACTAAGGTATAGACAGCTTAATCATGAGGGGTTAATGTTGACTCAAGTAAATATTTTTGCAAGGAAGATTTACATAGATACCATTTAATTTTTATCAATTTACATATTTGACATCTAAACTTTATTTTTTACATTATGCTACATTAATTATGCATGAAAAAAATGTATTTCACTTTTTATAAGTTTAAATAGTGATATTTTTGATGTCATATGAATATTTCATGGCATCAAAATTGGATGGTATTTGATATGCAAATACATAGAAATTGGGTGGTATGTATGTAAATGTTCCTTTTTTTTTAATACAACAAAGATCCAAAGTTTATATATATAAATGAAGCTGCCTGAGGAACTTCGGTTGGGTCAACTTGAGCAGTCCAATGCATCTTGATCTCCAAGATTCTTATCCCATAGACAAACATGCCTTCTATATCTTTAAAATATGTATAAATAAAATAAAAGTACATGAATGCATGAACCAATAATACACACATATATATAATTTGATTTAGTTGGCATGTCACAATAATGTGTTATGTTCACATTTGTAGCATTCAATTGTGATATTAGTCAAACATTTAGGAGGACATACTAAAATATGTCTATCATGGCGAACCTATACGAACATGTGCTTGAATTTGCAGCAGTTTTGTTAGAAATAGAGTGAAGGATCCTAAGGTGTCAGATTCGAGTGCTCATCTTGCACCGAAAAGAAAAGATGGCTTAGAACAACAATGTGTTATGTACAAATTTTTAGCATTCAATTTTTTAAATTCTAAGGACATAGTGATGTGATGACTCCGCTCTATGGTGGAGTCACGTATTGAAGTACTCATAAAGAGGACTGGCAAATCTTTCAAAAAATTTTAAAAAGAAGATTAAATCATTAAGCGGTTGTAAAAATCTTATGGACTAACATAATCTATCCTTGGGTGAATCACACTATCCTTAAAATCAAATGAATTTAATAATGTGTGGTCCATAGACTCCACTTAAAAGTAGATTGACACACAAAAGTGCTCATGAGAGTTACTTAAAAGATCTAATGGCTTTAATCAAATTTTAATGATATTTAAAAGAATAAATATTTTCAAAAACATTGAATATGCTTAAGGGTTTAATGTGTCAAAGGAAATTAAATGATTAAGAGAATTTTAAAGTAGGAATCTAAGATCAAGAGTAGCGCACACTATTAGGTGAATCATGTCACCACATGCTGCAAACTCAATTTATGTAAGAAAAAAAAAATTATGAAATATTTTTAGATGAAGCCGCTTAACTTCTTTTGGGTTTAAAGCTTCAAAATTCAACCAAAATATCTCTTTCTCTTTCCTTTATGACACCAATACAATAGAGAAATGTCGTGATATCATTTTATGCCAAAAATGTAATCACAAGTTTATTTTCAATCTACTTGTGGATGGAATCAATAAATCAAGCAACCAAAATGAAAGTCAAGAAGTTATGAATTCATAAGGTGGTCTATCCCTCCCTTCTATCAAGAAAATTTTATACTATTTTATTTTCATGTATTATGCACTTATAAGACTAGACATATGCGAGTGAGTTATTAAAAACCTTGATTTGATAGAATTTTGTTATGGGTTTTGCATGAGCGAAACCTAAGAGGTAAGTTTAGTGAACCTTTCTCATATGTGTTCTAATGAAATATTATTTTCATTTTTTATAGTTTGTCTAATGGATAATATTGCCATCTCTCTTCTTAATAAATCTAGATATTTTTTTGTCATATAATATCATATTGTCTTGCTTTGACTTCATTCCACTAAACATTATGACCAAGATGCATACAAATGCATGCCTACCATCTTCTCTATTATAAATATTTAAGAAAATTCAAGTAAACATTAAAGTAAGATTCCTTGACTCTTAATTTGGTGATCTTTTCTCTCTTAATTTCCATAATATTTTCCCTTATATTTTTAACAATCTAATTCTACATTTTATTTGCTTGATGTTGGCCTAATTTGCCACCATAGAACAAGAGAAATTTGAAAAACCAAACTAATGTTGCATTTGGAAATTGCATGGTTGCCTTGCCCATATAAGAATAGCCTTGCAATCATTAAGGAGGTGGCTTCTCCCCCATAAGGAGATTTGATAGTCGAAAACTAAGAGATTGGTAGACATTAGAGTGGATGCAAGTCAATTTAGTATCAAATTATGTTAAAATTATTAACATATTCTCCTTAGTACATCGGGATTACTTGTACATTTATTTGATTAATTTGTATGGTTGGAATGTATAAATGGTGATCCTCATGATATTGCTTTATAAGTTATCATGTTAGAGTAATCATTTAATAGTTTATATAATAATACATTCCTCTCACATTTATCACTATATCTTTATGCCACCATGACATTGTTGTGTGTCTACACTTACATGTTTGTGTGTGTGGCTTTAGTTTTTATTGAATCAAGATACTATAAGCTTGTGAAGTCGAGTTGATCTCTATATTAAGCTTAATTGATAACTTGGTCACTCTATTAGGGTTTGAATTGGTTAAATTTTAAAAGAAAATTCTAAAATAAATCATCCATTTATGAAAGGACAAAAAGATTCATACTATGATATTTAAATGAAAAAATAGCCGTTATGCCTCTCAAAGCTCTACATCTACATTGCTACAAGTATAACATAAATAACCATTTAAAACTTGTATTGCACATATCAAATAAATCTAAAAGATTCAAAATTCATCACAAAAATTCAAGGCTCTGAAAAAAAAGTCACAAAGAACAAAATTTTAAATTCCTCCCAAATCCCCAAACTGTACAACAAAAGCTTCCCAAACAAACTCTCCTCCCTCCCCCAAATCCTCCATCAACAGCTCAATCCCTCATACTTCACCGGAATAACACGAGATAACATGCTCCCCACCGTCGCCATGTCCCTGCAAAACACCCCTTGATACACCGCCGGCGCCAGCTGCGCCTGCTTCTCCGCCGCCACCGCTGCCCTCTTCCTCTCCACCTCCTCCTCCATAATCGTCGCCATTATGCATGAATAGCCTTTCTGCAACATTCTGTACAAAATCAATGCAGACATCCTCGCCTGATCCCTCACCGCATCCAGATCCCAATACTCGTCGGAAAACTCCAGCTTGTCGACAAAAGCCCCGGCTTTGTCCGGCTTATGCCGCAGTAAAAGAAGCAAATTTGCCCTCTCTAGCTCCGACCGCGAACACCCCCTTCTCACTCCAATCAGCTTGTAATAATCCACATCATTACCCTCGCCGGCGGCGAACCTCTGCCTGATTCCGTTTATCCTCGCCGTCAGACTCCGGAGACTATTCGGTATATCGCGGTAACGAATCTCATCGTCAAACGGGCGGCGCCAAACAGGGCCGGGCAGCTTCCTGTCCCGGAATATGGTGTCGTAGAGGAGTTTCAGATTGTCGAGATCCCGGAGGCAATCGGTGAGGCACCGGACGGATTCGAGGAGGTCGGCGCGGGTGCGGAGGGCGGGAATGGAGGTCGGATCGATCGCCAGAGCGCGGTTGCAGTCGGCGATGGCTTCGGCGATACGACCGGCATCACGATAGGCGGCAGCGCGGCCGATTAGACAGGTGGCTGCGAAGGGGTGTGGAGTGCCGCGCCGATTTTCCAAGATTTTGGAGAAGTGGCGAGCAGCTTCAATGGGGTGGCCGGCGTCGAGGGAGGAGATGGCGGCGGAGCGGCGGCGGAGGAGGAGTTTGATGTGGGTTAGGAGGTTGGAGGCTGATTCGGATTCGGAGATGGGATTGGTGGGGGGATTCTGAGGGGAGGTGATGGCATTGAGATTGGATTTGGAGTTGGTGGGAGGGAAGGAGGGGATGGTGGGGGAGAAATTGAAGATGTCGTCCGAGTGAGTGATGCTTTCCCGGCGGAAGGCTGCGGAGGCGAGGCGGCGGCCGGTTTGGAGGAGGATCATGGCGTCTTCTAAGAGGCCCAGATGGCAGCAGGCTTGCCCCAAAATAAGGTATCTGGAAGACGATGAATGATTAGATTAGTTCATGCGGAGCTTTGAGGTTAGTTTTGGGCATTTTTACATGCAAACCAACCAATTCCCATGTATTTACATATCTAACCCATAAAGTCTATTGTTTACATCTATACCATTCAAATCTTTTTTATCACATTCTACCACACAAATCTTTCATAACACACAGCTTAAATATCATTATTTTAACTTTTAAAAACTAATATGCTGACTATAATGCATATGAAAGATGGAATGCATGTAAAAATTAAAATTTAGGTGTTACATATAGAAATATATAAAATTTGAAATTTGCTAAAACAACAATATATATATATATGCAACAAGCCGTGGCCTATTGGTTGTCAGGGTTCACTGTAAGTCTCATGAAGTCACGGGTTTCATCTCCAGTGGCGTTGTGTTCTCAAATATTTAAGCACATGACGCAGACTCTCATGATGCCTAGTGCATGAGAAATCATTATTTAACCAAATAACGATTTACTTTATATATATATTTGTGTCTTAACCTAGCTCATTAGTTGCAGCCTTTGGTGTAAGTCCCTCGGGCCGGAAAAATTATTCTATACGGAAATGCATGCGGCGTCTAATCTCCACCGTCGATCACCACAAAGATATATTTCGGTGGGTCCCATTTTCAATTTTTTTTTTTTATTTGATTGCAGTGATCGACGGTGGAGAACTGATATCGCATGCATCTCTGCAAGTGGAGTCCGCCTCTTGGTCCTCAGGCCGGGGGTTCGATCCCTGCCTAGGATCGAATTGCACAACTTCTAAAAGTGGGGTCCGCCTCTTGGTCAGACTATGAGGTTGATCGGCGATTAAACTTTTCAATATATATATATATATATATTCAATTTCTTCTGAATTTTTCATATTAGGTAACATTGACAGAATAATATAATTTTTTAAAAAAGTGTTGATTGGAGCTCATGAACTACGCCAACAATAACAAGAGAAAAATGACAATTTGTAATAATTTGTGAAGAATGGATTAGGTAACATTCAGCCAGCGTCGAATAAAAAAAATATTTAGCATTAGGTATACCTCCCCGAAAAATATTATCATTATGGTCACGTTTCCGTTAGTGCTTATTTTTAAAATTATCATTCCATTCCACTGACTTTATTTAAATAAAATAAATAAATAAACGGAAAATAAAATCCAAGGACGAATTCCAGCATGCTGCACTCATAAAAATAATTCAAAGAATCAAATTTACCTCCACTGCCCCTCACGATCGCCGGCGGCGCGGTGGATTCCGGCGACCAACTTCCGCTTTATGTCGTAGATGGAAAAGCAGCGTAAACCGCGATCGCCACCATTTTCGCATTTAGGAAGCAACTGGGCTCCCTCGCGGCTGTCTGAAACAGCTCTGCCGCTGCCGCTGCCGGTGGAGGAGAGAGAGGTCGAAGAGTCGTCGAAGGCGGCGGCGGGGGGGCGGCGGGGGCGCCGGAGCCGCCGCGATAGCTCGGAATGTAGTCCTGAAGCATATCGGCGACATCCCTGAAACGGCGAAGGAAAAGGAGCGATCTTGCTTTGAGCTCCAATGCAACCTCAAGCCGCGGAGAGAGCGCGAGGGCGCAGTCGAGGATTCCGATCGCCGCCGAGACTCCATTAGGGTCCTGCGTTGCAATCAGAGAACGCGCGTCCCGAATGTGTTTGTTGACGATCTGGTAGTTTATAAAGAGAGAAATTATTAGAACAGAAAGATGGAGAAGAAGAGGAATGAAAACAGAGAAATAGCTGGAAATTGAAGCATTAATGCCATGCGGCAACATTGCCGGAAAGTCAGCGCTTTCCAGAATAAAGATCTGAACTTCATATAAAACCTCAAAAATGTCGTTTTTGATCCATAGATTTCACATTGTCTGAGAAGGAAAGGAATGAAAAGAGTGATATCTCAGAAGATCTGGGGATTCAGAACGGAGAAATGAATTCCTTGATTCGAATGGCAAATCAACTGTTGCAGAGTGGGGGAACGAGGTAGAAAGGGGGGGTGGGGGGGTGGGGAGGTGGGATCTGATTACGGACCTTCCTGTTCATCATCCACCAATGCTTCTTCTCCCGGGAAAGAGATTGGGGAGCTTCCATCGTTTTTTAAGCATCAACTTCGTCTTCTTCCTCGGCTTCAGAATGCATATGATAGAGTGAAGGAAGGAGGAAGCTGAGCTTGGAGGAGAAGAGGAAAGCTTCGATTTTTATGAGAAATAATTATGTTCCCTGTATTCTGCAGGGAAATTAATAAGGACGAAGATCAAAAGGACTGAGGAAATTCAAAATTGAAGGAAAAAAAATGCCAGCTTTGACTACCCCCTTCCACACTCAACCCTTTCCCTTTCGAAGAAAGCTTTGATCCCTCATCTTCCAAGCTGGCAAGATGCCCAATCTCAGTGTAGGTAGCATTAAAAAATATTCTAAATGGAAAAAGAAAAAGGAAAATCAAGTAAAAAGAGGTCTTCCATGGAAGAGGAAAATGATGGGAACCTATACACGGTGGGCTCGGCTCACCGGCTATAAACAGTTACCGGTAATGCACTTGCCAGTCACGGGGTCCAAATGTAACCATTAAACACCGTTGGGGAGGGTGACAAGAGAATTAAATGAGGAAAGAAGAAAAAAACAATATATACTTTCTTTAATTTAGACCACATTGTAGTACTAGTTAAAAGGGGGACTTTTTCATTATGTTAATATAAAATCTCCAAATTAAATTTAGAAACATTGATTGGAACTTTCTTATTTTCTTTATTTTATAAATACTAAATGTTAATTTTTTAAATTTTGAAAAGAAATTCTAAACACTTATAATTATATTATATATTCTATTGGTATAAGAATTGACTCTAATTTTTTCATACCCTTTTTTTTATGAAATACATCAAAATTTATGTTTAAGACAATTTTTTTTTTTTCTTTTTATTTAGTAACTCTGTCTTGAACAACATAGATTGGATAAGATTCAAATCATATTTGATTTTTTTCTGAAAGAATTTGAACATAAATCTTATATGCTTGAATATAATTTTGCAGAGAGATGAAGCCTTACAATATACATGGATGTATTCGTTATGAAAGCTCTATTACATGACATGTAAAGGAATACTGTATAATGCTACTTATAGAGGAGTTTGTTACAATTAGAGGACAAGTGGTCCTGTGGAGTGATTGTGGTGAGTATGTGGGTGGGTGGTTGTATTAAAGGTCCTCAAATTAAGAATCCAACTATTGGATTGTTAATTTGTTTGACATTCTATAGAATCAACAGTTGGATGACTCTTTTGTGAGTATGTCAGCGATCTGATCATCGATGGCTAAATGATTAACATTGAGCGAGAGATTTGAGATATGTTCACAGATGAAATGGAAGTCAAATTCTACGTGCTTCGTTTGAGTGCATAATATCAAATTGGAGGCGATGACGAGGGTGAATGTGTTGTCACAATAGATTGGCGTTGGAGCAGAAGATGAATGTCAGATTCTTGAAGCAATTGTCCGAGCCAAATGGTGTTCGTGATGGTAGACGTGAGTGCTATATGTTCTGATTTCGTTGAGAATCGTGCAACTGTGGATTGCTTTTGAACTTTCCAAGAGATGAGGATATGACCTAGGAAGGTGGAAAACCTTGTTGTGCGTTGACCTCATTTTTAGATGAGGCTTTTCTCTCTTTCTCTTCCTCTCTCCTTAGAAGCTAGGATCTAGTTTTAAATTTTCTCAGAGGATGCTACCTTATAGAACTAATGGTTGGTTGAAACGCTAAATTAGAAGCTCTTTATTTTATACCTTAACACTTTTTGTGTTAAGTTTATTGAAGTTGGGCTATTGAAACTAAATTTAAGTTCTCATCATAGGCCTTTAGGTAATCTTTTGACCTTAGAAACTTAGGCCTTTAAAAAGTTATCTTTAAATCCTTTCAAATCTCTTTAAGCTACTTTTCTAGCTTTTTCCTTGGTTTAAAGAAAACACATTTGGTTTAGTATTCACTTTGAATCATGATTAGTTAATTTTAAAGAATTAAATATGAAAAAAGTTAAATTCAAAAAATTAAAGCTAAATTCACTAAAAATTAAAAAGAAACAAAATTTAAAACTCATAAAGCAACTCAAATAAAATACAAAATGGAATTAAAAAATATAAATCATATTCAAACAAATAATAAAAAAAGATAAAATTAAATTTACACTTAAATATAAATTAAATTAATTTAAAATCAAAACACAATGTCTATTAAATATGAATCATACTAAAACATAAATCAAATTAAATAAACCTAGTTACTATTTAAGTTAATTAAATAATCTCCAAATCATATGGACTCATATTTAATTCAATAAATAAAACCTTAAAATTATTTCAAATGTAACCTAAAATCCAATTTGAATTAATATTTAAATTAACAAAAAAAATGTATATTCAAAAGAAAATGATTAAATCACAACCTACAAATCACATAAATTCATATTGAAATTCAATTTAAAATTAAATCTTAAATTCATGAAATTCAACACATAAGTCTTAACTAAAATTTAATTTAAATTTATATCTATGTCTTCATCTAAATTTTATCCTAAACCTTAAACCTCAACCCAACAACCTACCCAATAACATTTCACAACCCACCAAACCATCTCAAATACTAAACTTAGACACATCAGTTTTTTATCAAGCAAGCTTAGCCTCAAGCCAATACATTCTTCTAATATAAGCTCTTGCAAACAACCACCTAACCCTTCCGCAAAATCATCTCACAAAGCGGCAAGCTCTTGTTGGTTGATTTGGAGGTTGCTTTTATTTCCAAATCAACCCAAGCAAAATACCATCCAATCTTAAACTCATTACCTTGGATCCTTGCGTTAGCACTTACTTAGCCACATCCCATTGACTATCACAATCTTTACTCAATCCTCATTCAACCAACCAACTCAAGGTAGCTCAAGCTCAACCCAAGCTCACCCCATAGCTTGTCTTGGAAGTTACCCGAGCACCCATATGGCTTCTTCTCATTGGCAGCCCCCCAATGTTGACTAATCCATGTGGAAACCTCCAATTGACTTCCTCCTTTGACTTGACAAGTCATTCTTGGCATCAATCGTTGGTGTTCAGCTAGATTGTACCCGACCCAATCTCAAACTTGAGCCTAAAAATACTACTCCCCCAACTCAATTTGGGCTTGGTAAAATCCACCCCCCTAGCTCAATTTTGTGCCTAATCAACTTCCACAAACCCTAACTCATTCCCTATTTCTTCTCAAGTCTTTTTTAACCTCTACCACTCAAACTTTAAAATCGAGATCAGGGCTCAACTTGATTTGTAAACCATTCACTAATCTTTCAATCCAAAACCTCTATTAGCTCCCCCATCTTACCAAACTATTTATTCAATCAATTTACCATTGAATTAGCCCCTCTAACCCACTGTTTGATCGATTCATGCAGCTATTTGAACAAGAACATATAAGGTGTCTATGGAGCTTCAAATTGAGGGAAAAAGATTGCTCACGGGAACAAGACAATAAGTCTATGCAGCTGAGGTATAGTTTGAAACTTAGCATTACGTTCCTCGGTAGTGTTCTATTATGAAAGAAACTATAGTTTCCCAATATTTTCGTTGTAGGATAAGCCGCTTAGGACACAGATCTTTTTGAATTTGAACGTGCCACATAGAAGGTGTCGAACGAGAAGTTGCTACGTGTGGAGGTGAACCTTGGGGTGCCACTTGGAGTGCTGAATGTGTAATTCCTTCATCAAATTCTTAAAAATTTATAAAATTCAATCCGAAAGTTAAAAAAATCATTAAAAATAAGAACAAAATCAGAATAATTAAAAAAAAAATACGAGAGATTCATTAAATAGAGAGAAATAAAGTCAGATGAAAATTAAAATTAAGTAAATACAAATAGTAAATTATTTAAAAATTCATTAAATTAAAAAGAAAAAGAAAAAGAAAATGAAAATATCGTAGAAAATAACAATCAACATCAGTAATCTCTTGTAATTTTTCCAAAAATATAAAATAAAAATAAATTAGAAAATTTAAATTTAAAATGATAATAAAATAAAAAAAAATATTTAAAATATAAATAGTTAAATTTAAAAAGAAAACAAAAAATAAATTTAGAACAAAAAAAATCAAAAATAAAAATTATAATTTACTGAAATCATCAAATGGAAAATTTAATTCAATGTAATTCATTTAATAAATAATTGAGTATATTTGTCATTACAAAATTTACATAATTTCCTTCATATTTCAAGATCTTATTAAATCAATAAAATGCCCTTTTGAAATCATAAAATTTTGTATGAATGATTGGCTTGAATTAAAATGCAAACGAAAATTTAACTTAGAAATATAATTTGTATAGAAGGGTATATTTATAATTTGTAAAATTTAAATATACATATTTATCATATTTTAAAATCCTTATATCAAACAATATCAATATAAAATTTAGTAAGTTTACTATTATGAAAACATGATTAAAATTTGTCAAAATTAGCAATTAAAGTTTTATGAATTAAGCAATTAACGATGAAATTCTACTAAAATTCATGTGCATAAATGTAAAGAAAGATATATATATTAAAATTCATGTGCATAAATGTAAAGAAAGATATATATATTAAAATTCATGTGCATAAATGTAAAGAAAGATATATATATTAAAATTCATGTGCATAAATGTAAAGAAAGATATATATATATATATATAAGTGAGGATATAAAAATTAATTAAATAATTTTTAATTAAATTTAATTTAAATGATTGAAAATAGTTCATAGAAGATTTAATTGAACTTAAAATAACATTAACATTTTAAGAATTATTCAAAATTTTATTTCAAGCATTTCTCTAAAATTTGAAGAAATTTAGAGATTATTTGTATTTGTAATGAATTTCTAATTGAAAATATATTTAAAATTCAAATAATAATAATAAATAAATAAAAATTTAAAAATTTATCGAGCTTTCACAAAATATATTTGATGTTAACATAAACTTTTAAAAATAAATTTCAAAATATTTTGAAAAAAATAATTCAAAATATATAGAACTTTTGAATAAAATTAAAAAAAGATATATAATTTTAATTTTAAAAATTAATAAGAACCTAAAAACTCTTTAAAATTCACATTTATTGTCTTTAAAAGATCTTTAACTAGTTTTCTAAGTAGTTTGTGTCATTTTCTAAATTCTTTGTATTGATTAAATATACATATATGTTTTCTTAAGCATATATGTTATATTTAATTAATATTAAAAAACCAAATAAATTCATAAAATTAAAAAAAAAATAAAATTCATAAAAAATATTGAAAAAATTACAAACTTAAAAGAGATATTTTCTTAGGTAAAATTTGAACAATAATAAAATATCATCACTTGAACAAAATGCTTTGTTTTAGCTAGCCTCACTTCCCTTCACA